ATACACCGCATGCTCTCCTGTTGTCTGTGCAATTGAAGTAGTTCTAATTCGCTCATGGTGCATAAATAATTGTATAGCCTGCCTGCTCTCACTCGCATTAAAAAAAATCACCACCTCCCAAAGTCTAAAATCCAAGATAATTTATCTGACTCACGGGAATCCATTAACAACTATCAATATCAGGGAGACTCCAGGAACTTCTGGGAGACTTGGGATGTCTGCCAAGGGGATGAGTTAAATGCAGAGTTCCTTTCATAGCTCTGTACTTGTGACAGTGTAATGACAATAAAACACAAATTAAAAACAAATTACTTTTTTGGTTTTTCTTTTCCTCGTGTCACAAGGGGCAGAGCTCTTTAGGCCCCAACACCGGAAAGCCCTGCTAACCACCCTTGTGTTTTTTTTTTTCCTATAAAAAAAACACAATCGATTTATCCATTTTATTAATGTAAAGAAAATACTACCAGTTTTAGGAGACATATTCCTGATTTTTGTTGTTAAATACTAATACACTTACATTAATACATAAATTAAACAGTTACTAGACTCTTAGTTTTAATTCAACACTATGAGCATGTAATTCATTTCAAACTAGTGAAATTGTTTAACATATTAGGATTTATTTGTTTTTCAAATGCAAACTATGTTTGTTGTAATTATATGTTTGTGTAAAGAATTATCTAAGCTATTTAACAATATAAAGGAACAGGTTATGAAAAGAAAATGAAAATATTCAACTCTAGAAGTTGATTTTTGTCAACTCTGTCAGACACAATAAAAATAACGTCTTTTTTTTCTCTCTCCAATATTAACCAAAATCCTGAAATATGATGTAGTAACATTTATCTACACTGACATAAAATAAAAAAATAAAAAATAAATTTTGTGATTCAACACTATTTTGAAAACCCATATTTCAAAATGCATTATTTATAAAGGGCTCAAAAGTATTAATGTATAGAAAATGACGATTAACAGCTGATACTGATGTCAACCACAATATATCATGCATCCCTAGTATGGACACAACTTCAATTCCATCCATCCATGCATGGCTTCCCTTAAAGCTGCATTAGTGATTATCCTCCTTCACAAGCAGCAAAATCAAATTTAGAAGTTTGTCCCATATGTCATTAACCCATTTAGGCCTAAAACGCCTGGAAAAAACACCTTAAAAACCTATGGCCGATTTTAAAAAATACCCCTAAAACCTGAAGTTTTTCTGTAAATTCAGCAACTGTGTCAACGCCTAGTAAATTATTGATATCTCAGCTTCTGTAGCAGATAGAACTCAAAATATATTTTATCTTTGAAATTCTTCCAAAAAAAAAGTGAAAAGCAGTAATCAAAAAAAAAATTCAACCTTTTATTTTTTCCATATGTGATCATGTCTTCATTGAGAATGTGCAATATAAAACGTTTTCAAAATAAAGAACAAACATTACATAAATAACTATCTGATGATTACTTATTAACAGTATTATTATGCATAATAATGCATATGTCTGTGTCATAAATTGCATACAACTTACCTCCAGATGGCCACAAATCTGTCCCGGGACATATTTTGGGGGAACTGCGTCCTGAAGAGAGGCTTACATACACAGCCCAATAAATGTCTTCATCTCCGTCACAGTCACGGGTGACCACTTTGCCATCTTTGCTCTTGTTGGAGTTTGGTTTGTTTGGTCACTGTACCTATTCGTCTCGGTAACAAGATGCATCCAAAGTTCTTCATTAAAAATATGCTCAAATGCCTGCAGCGGTGTGGCGTCTGCAGGCAAATCAACTTTCACTCCAGGTGTGCGGTTGAAAACACTCCGTGCATTGCGGTGGTAGTTCGATTGGTTCAGCGCGTTCAAAGTCATCATTTTCATCTATACCGTCATCAAAGCTGACACACTCCTCAAAATCACTGCCTTCCGACAACTCTTCTCTGTCAAACTCCTCCATGTTTGCTTGAAAAAAACTTCTTTCTTCTTGCTTGACTTATATGCTCTCCCGGCGTCAATGGTAGAATGACGCAACAGCACCCCCGGCTTGAATGGTAGAAATGCGGTAATGCTTTCCCGGCCTAAATGGGTTAACAGCCAAAGTCTATGTATTGAACCTTATATTTCAAAAATCATTAATACCCTGATTTTTATTATTTGTGCTTTAATTCTTGTAGGTTTCTGTGTGAGTCTGGCTGTCTCTGGGTTGGCTGGCACAGCTATTTCTAAGTCTTGTTTAACCTCAAAATACAAAAAGATATGTTGAATTTTATTGTAACTTTTATAATAACTTTTATTTTATTATAACTATGCGTATTATAATATGACGGTTAAAATTCACTGAGTGCTGCTGTGTCTCTCCTCCTCCACATAGCAACTCTGAATGCACTGAATAGTGACCCCAAATAATATTATGTCCCAAAGCGACAGATCCCATGATATTTTAAGAGGTGGGACTCGAGAGCAGCCGGAGAGTGAGGAAAAAACACGGACTGAAAACATGCTGAACACACTTAGCTGCACCCAACCCCAGTTACTGTTGATTAAAGTAAATCAGTGGAAAGGGGGAAAAAAGCGGAAATTATTGGTGGGGACTGTCCATACCAGTCCTTCAAAAAGTTACGCCGGTGTCTTGCATCTCATGTTTGCTCACTAGGTCTTTATTTTTTTCCTCTTCTTCTTTTGCTGATATTCTCTATTTCTTCTCCTTTGCTCCAGAACAGACAGTTTTTGACTAGCCATGCTTACCTGCAATAAAAGTAAAGCAATGAAAAATATTCTGAATTTAAAGTCCATCCATCCATCCATTATCTGACACGCTTGTCCCGAGTGGGGTCGCGGGGGGTGCTGGTGAATATCTCCAGCAATCAGTGGGCGAGAGGCAGGGTACACCCTGGATAGGTCGCCAGTCAATCACAGGGCAACACAGAGACACACAACAATTCACTCTCACCTAAGGTGCCACTGAGCATCCCTAAATTTAAAGTGTGACTTCCAATTGTCAATTTATTGACTTCTGAAATGTTTTCCTGATTGTGACCTGTTTCTGCCCTGTGGATCCCGAGTTTTGCCTTGCCCCTGTCTGTTCTGTTTGTCTCATCTGTTTTGGATTGATTCCTGGATTCTACCGGATTCCTCAACCTGGACCTGTCTTCTGACCCCGGCTTTGGATTTCCCCTTTGGAATCTGCCGCTGCTCGGCGTTGGCTGGCGCCTGCTCCGCTCGCTCTCTAGGAACTCTGGGGGCGGCACCCGCCGCAAGCTGGGGACTAACCTCCCATTGGGATTCAGCTGTTTTCTCTTTGAACCGACTGAACTGTGAATCAGGTCAGTGACTTTCCTCCAAGTCGTGATCAGCTCTACATCCAGTCACTGACCTGTATCTCCTATCTCTGCAGAGATTCGCCGATTCGTCAATTTAAATGACCATTTTAACTACAGGCCATAAATATTCCCCACAAAATACTTTGAAAAGTTTGCTAAATATCATGTTGGTTTGCAATGCTCCTTTAGATATAACGTTTTAGTTACGTAGATCATGTAGAAATGTATAAATTTTTAAAACTGAAAAAATTTCTTTGTATGTAACTTTCTTCACGTTTTCTCCCGATTCTCAAGAATCAGTGAGCTATCAGTAGCATAACAGCTGGAATTAACCCCCATTATATCTAATATATTGCAGCCACAGCTGCACCTGGGCACGCAGACAGTGGCAAGATTGTTTTAAACAGGTACTACCTGCCATCTGAACACGATCAACAATGTGAATACATCAATCAATCAATCAATACAGAAGGACACAATGACTTAGCTGAGATTAAAACAGGGCACCCTCCAGCTACAGGACAGACTTCTGCTTCCTATGCATTAACTGCAAAGTAAACTGATTTTGTCAGGGTGTGTATTTTAAGAGATAAGAGTACACAGGTTGGTATTTGGGAAGAAACTATTTATTTTTAAATCAATAGTAAAAAGAGTTTTTTTTTTTATTCAACTGCATAGATTGATACAGAGTCTTTAAGGAACTAACTCTTGAAGAGATGAATTAGACTGAAAAAATGCTGAACAAACACCATACTCTACACATTAAACACCAACAGAGGAAATTTAATACCCACTAGATTTTTGGATGGACTCCTGCTGGCCCACATGATTAAAAATATTCTGGGGTCAATTCAGTTTATTTCTGACCCTAAACTGAGACAAATGATCACCCACACCTGTTTCACTGAATGTATCTTATCTTGGCAAAGCAGAAACAAATCAGGGATCATCTTTTTTATTATTATTTTTATTGAGGAAAATGTAGTTTTCCTCCTTCTGTACCACATGAATTTGTTAGCAAATTTATATTTTTTATACTCGTTATTGTGCTTATTAAGTGTAACAAGAGAATGTCTTGTTGTCCAGGCATCACATCTGAATGCCCCCTGAAGACAGAAGTATTTCACCAGGCAATACTGTATTTTAAATTATTTATTGTCATTCACACAATTACAAATTTGAAGGCAAAAAACATGAGAAGCCATTAAAATAGTTTTATTAGTTTTATTTCATTAATATTTCAACACAAAATGCTAGCTAAAACAACAAAATGTTTTACAAAATGAAGAAGTTTATATCACTCTTTTGAAATATAAAGTGACAGTCAATTTAAATTCACCCTAATCACGAAAAAGAACAAAAAAAAAAAACATTCCTAAAATCAAATGATATGGAAATAATTTGATTGAAACATTGTCATTTAACCTAAAAAAATGATCTAATACAATTTCACCAAGTTAAGTATTTGATCTGTCTGTACAGTAAGAATATAAAAATGATACAAGTGATTTGTTGAATCATTATAAAAAGAAGAGTAAAACATGCATGACGTTCTTTAATCTGTCCAGTTTTTACTATAAAGAAAATCAGGTAAATGAGAATATACTTGAATCAAACGGAAAGATTTTATTTTCAATAGCCCTCGAACCACATGCACCATGAAGAGATGATTATGGTAATTTAATTTCCAACTCCTCCAACTGCTTCTTCTACTGCAGCTACTTTTTTATGCTGAAGCTTTTCTTCCTTTCCAGACTGACCTATTTCTCCAACTAATCCGGTTTTACTGATTGGACCTGCTAATCTAACACCTGTCCTTACTCCCAGATGTATTTGCTCCGCTGTCCTCAGTAGTAGTAGGAGCCACCGCTCAGAAATGATTTAAGCAAGACATCTGTAGTGGCCTTTAAACATTTCTGGGCCCAGTTCAGCTGGACCACAGCTTTAGCCTTTTCTTCAATCTCATTTTGTGCAAGATGAGGACTTTCTGCCTTAATGCGTTCCTGCTCTTTTTCTATATCTGTGTTTAAGTCCTGCAGCATCTCTTTGGTGTAGGGCTGACCACTGTTCTCCTCAATAACCCTGTCTACCGTGTTTAAAAGCTCTTTAACCTGGAACTGATTGTTTCTGTAGCCATCCTGAGTCGTCTTCCAGTATCTATTATCAATGACGTTGCAGCGGCCTCCACATGTCTTTACAAGTTCATCTAAATCTTTGCTCTTACAGACAAACTCCTCAATTGTTGTTCCTTCGGGCAGCTGGTCACCATGAGTAAAAAGCACTGTGGTGAACTTTAGAGCCTCTTCCGAGAAATAATCAGTCATCTTCTTAATGATCTCCTTCTCTTGCTGTGTGTATTTACTCACTCTGAGTACAATTATGAAAACATGAGGACCAGGAATACTCTCAATAAAACATTTTAAGATTTCATTCTTCATCTCACTGTCACTTCTAACTGTGTCAAAAAAACCAGGAGTGTCAATGAGTTTTATGCTTTTCCCATTGACTGTTCCTTTTACTGCTTCACATTTTTGTGTTCCAGATACTGCAGAATGATTTGGTTTACACACATCCTTCCCAAACAAGGTGTTTGCAAGGCTGCTTTTTCCCGATCCAGTTTTTCCCAAAATCACGATTCTTCTTGTGAAGTCTGTAAGGTAACAATAGCTTGATTAGTTATTTATGTTATGCATGTATATAGACAGTACTTTGGAATCCAAAGATTGTTTTTTTATGATTCTGTTAATATTTAAAAATTCTTGGACTGATTTGTACCATTTAAGTGATTTTGGTCTAAGCTATTTTTAAACATGCATTTGCTCACTGTTAGACATGAATACATTGATGCTGAAAGTTCATAGAAAACCATAGGTTTTATGTTACACCCTCAGGTTATCTTTAAATCGATTAAATCACACAATTAATGTGGTAAGGCAACTGTAATTTTACTAAGAATGTTAAATGACTTTTTTGGCATTTTCACTCATTACATCAAGTTTCACTCATTAGGTCCTATATATCTACATTCTTATACCCCATTGTTTCTCAAAAACTCAGCTGTCTTGGAACATTTTGAGACTGTTTTTGGAATTGTCTAAGATAGATGATTACTTAATAACATGCATTCATTTAAATTTATGTTGTTTAAGTTAATAACTATGTTCAATGACAGGAGATGGAATCATCTCTAGCATTGTGAGCTTTCACCTCACATGACTGATTAGCTGTTTCTGCAATTGGCGTCTTCTTGAATGTTTCTATTATGCATGTAAACATGACACATGAAATATCGCCATTACTAGCTGACATGTTACCATAAGAACAACTTCCCGATAGCAAAGCATTAATTAACATTTCACTCTATTTCTGCTTATTATAACCATGTGTAATGAAGTTATGTTGACAATGACATAGGACTGCAATACACTTGGTGTTGCTTGCTTATTTCATTTAAACCAAATTGAAACAACGCAAATTCTTTTTTCCTTGTTTCTGAACTTTTAAAAAATTTCCTTAAAATTTCAAATTCAATGCGAAACACTGCTATGAACAGTAAGAGAAAGACATTTTTGTGTTGCAGAGATTAATATGCTTTGGTCCGGAATGTGCATACACACCCAAAACCCAAACAAAAGATCTTATTATGATGCTGCCTGAAGCTGCTTAGAGTGAGTCATTCTCTTTAATGAAGCAAGTACTGTACTGACATGTGATGAAAGTCTACTCAGAGGGAAAGAAGGCATTAATTCAAAAGAAAGTTGACAACTTATGTAAAAAAATTGTGGAAAGTTATCAAAACTTGGGTATGACCCGAGTCCTGTGCAACAGCACAAATTATAACAAAAAATATTTGTTAGTGATTGCAGTGCTACAAGTTCGTGATTTACAGTGATGGAAACTCCACATTAATGCTAACAAGAAAGAGGTTCAGCCGACCAAACCAGTTCAGAACAAAACATTCTGGTGTTAACCTGGAAAAAGTAAATTTTCACTAATAGAGCAGAATGCCTGTATAAGCACTGAAATAAACATTTTAAATCTTAATTGTCATGAAATATCAGCTAAAAAAGACAGCATTAATTCCTCCAGGCAATTTTGAGTCTTTTTATATGGCCTTTACTACTATAGTTTTCACCAAGTCAGAAGATTCCAAATCCCTTCAGTCATTCAGCAATTAATTCACAGAGGCGAGGCTGCAACTGGAAAACAAAGGGACCTTGTTGACTTGTCCGTCAGTACTACAATATTCCTTCATAGGTTACCTATGAATATAGAACAATTAAAATATAATTCTATGTTCCATGTTTCCCCCTATACAATTTCACAACTATATTATGAACAAAACAACTTTAGACTTTGCTTTAGAACTAAAATCCTGTAGGACTTTGATAATTTTATCAACATCTATGCATCTTTTTCAAATGATACAGTGGTCTGAAATATTGATCTCCAACATATATGTAGATTAAGCTGATTTTAAAACTCAAAATAATTTCTACTTGTTGTAAATCAAAACTCTGCAGACACATCCAGCTGTGTTCTGTTTCTATATAATATCTGTATTTCTGGCAACAAATTATGAAAAATATAAGCTTTTCTTACAGCTTTGAGAAATTATTAAAAGCAAATATTGTTTTGCCCTACTTTTTTATAAACATCACAAATAAAGATATTTTTATTTAAGATACTATGTACATTTACCATATCCTGGCTTAAATCTAATGTTGCACCGACCTGGAGTTGGTGGGCTGACAATAAACACCAGAGGACCATCTGAAAGCTCTACTGTGTGCTCACGTCTTTCCAGTACCTCTTGTTGTGCTGCAAAAAAATGCCCCACAAAATTATTTAGAATCAAGCAGGACCTCCACAGTACAAGCACCACTATTGGCAGGAATAAATCAAAATGTGTTCATTTATTTCACAGTTTGTATAGTCAGGTAAAAAAGAGACAATGTCAGAATTAAAAATTTGGTTAAAGCATATATCTAAAAAAAATATCAAATATGTGCTCAGATTCTGTGTGGATCATTAATTAGATTCTCTGCAATGAAACATGTTTTGTGAACAGAATTTTAAAAATGTATGTAGTATAAATCTATACACTATCTCTCATCATGAGATCTTTTGAGGTTATTCTCTAAATCTGCAATAAATCAAGTTAAAAGAGGAATTTAGTACAGGTACCTTTTGGATCTTTAAAGGCTACACAGTAGGTGTCATCAGCCACAGCTGTCAGTGGTCCACATTCTCCTCCTCCAGATCTGCGCCGAACTTGTAAATAATTTTCTATTTTCTTCTTTTTTTCATCTGAGAGAATGCTGTTACTCTTAATGAAAACACGATACTGGTAGTTGTCTGCCATCATCCACCCAGGTGTGCATCAGCTCTAAGAGTACAACTAACACTACTAAAGTCTGAGCTATATCTACCGTATGAAGCAGCTGTTAAAGGGCATCGTCTTCTTACATGGTGACGTTAGCATACAGAGCACTTTTAACATCAACTGGTTGGGCCAGTTTTGGGGCAGAGTTTTAGAATATTTTAAAGATGAAGAGGTAGTCTGTTCATAAGCACTCACTTCAGACCTTATAATTTATTAAAGTACTTTTTTTGTTTTGATTTCCTTTTTTATCAAATAAATAAGTTTATTTTAAAATGTTCAGTAGATACCGATTTATATTCTCACCTTAAAGGTAATAAACACTGGATTTCTTCAATATCTCCCTCAGTCTGCTTTGGACATTGGCTAAATTAGCAGTTATTTTGATCCATCCTGGTGGAACTGATGCTATCCTTTAAATAAAAGAGCAATAGTGCAATAATGTGCTCCTTCTGAACAGTGGCCTTATCCATCCTTTTCTATTTTGGCTCTGTGATGACATGTGCACTATGTTGAAGCTTCAGCTAATCTGCTACTGAGATTTGGTTAGGAAACCCATCAGCAATGTCAGGGTGTCCTACAATGACTTGTAAATAGAAAAAGCAGATGATCTGTTATTGGATAGTAGGAAACTTAAACATATGAATATATAATATCCATCCTGGGTGCTCAAAGCTTGTTCCAACCAGCTGTGTGGAATATTTATTTAGCCTAGTCTTCAGCCTGAGCATGCTCCTCCAGAGAGTACCCGTGCTGTGGAAGACGTCCTGCCTCGTTCCGGTGCCAAAGACTTTGCGCCCTAGCAACCCTCAGGACTACAGACCGGTAGCACTGACGTCCCACATCATGAAGACCTTTGAGAGGCTTGTCCTGGAGCAGCTAAGGCCCATGGTCAGGCCCTTCACTGATCCACTACAGTTCGCCTACCAGCCCCGCCTGGGAGTGGAGGACAGCATTATCTTCCTGCTGAACAGAGTCTACAATCACCTGGACAAGCCGGCGAGCACTGTGAGAATCATGTTCTTTGACTTCTCCAGCGCCTTCAACACCATCCGCCCGGCTCTACTAGGTGAGAAGATGACTGCGATGCAGGTGGAGGCCCCCATCGTGTCCTGGATTGTTGATTACCTGACGGGCAGACCACAGTATGTACGCCTACAGAACTGTGTGTCTGACAGGGTGGTCAGCAACACTGGGGCGCCTCAGGGGACTGTCCTCTCCCCCTTCCTCTTCACCCTTTTCACCTCGGACTTCAGCTATTGCTCTGAGTCCTGCCACCTTCAGAAGTTTTCTGATGACTCAGCAATTGTTGGCTGCATTGAAAAGGGTGAGGAGAGTGAATACAGGACCGTGGTGGGCAACTTTGTCACTTGGAGTGAGCTGAACCACCTGCAGCTCAATGTGACAAAGACTAAGGAGCTCATAGTGGATCTGAGGAGGACAAAAACACCTGTGACCCCTGTTTCCATCCAGGGGGTTCCTGTTGACACTGTGGAGGAGTACAAGTACCTGGGAGTGTACTTTAACAATAAGTTGGACTGGACTAGAAACACCGAGGCGGTCTACAAAAAGGGCCAAAGCCGACTATTCTTCCTGAGGAGGCTGAAGTCCTTTAACATCTGTGGGACCATGCTGAGGATGTTTTATGAGTCTGTTGTTGCTAGCACGCTCTTCTTTGCTGTCACATGCTGGGGCAGTGGGCTGAGGGTCGCTGACAACAACAGACTGAATAAACTGATCAGGAGGGCCGGTGATGTTGTGGGGGAGCAGCTGGACACCCTGACCACCGTGGCAGAGAGGAGGATGCTGTCCAGGTTTCAGTCTATCTTAGACAATGACTCACATCCTCTCCACAACACACTGGTCCAACAGACGAGCTCCTTCAGCAGAAGACTCCTCCTACCCAGATGCACCACAGAGCGCCACAGGAAATCATTCCTACCTGTGGTCATCAACCTATATAACGCCTCCCTCAAGTGATTCAGCCCCCCCCCCGTCCGTAATTGACATTTATGCACTATTTTTGCACGCCACATATCACTTTACTTGGATTTATTCACTTTAATTGGACTTTTCACTTTATTTGGATTTAGTTTTTACATATACATAGATATACATACAGATATATGTACAGAAGAGCTATATGTGTATATATATTTTATCTCTTTTTATTCTTATTTTTTATCTTATTATATTGTATAGTTGGATGTGTGTATATATCATGTAAAACTGTAACTAGAGCGTGTAACAAAAGTAATTTCCCTCTGGGATAATTAAAGTATTTCTGATTCTGATTCTGATTCTGAATACAGCTTGTTTCTCAAAAATATTTATCACAAAAGTAACTGAATGAATGAATATAAGAAGATGTTTTGAAAGTTGCATGGGGCTGATTGTTCTATGAAAAGAAGTGTGGGCATTTTTTATTAGTTATTTTTGCTGAGCACCACAGTGCAACACAAACTGACTACCTATAGGACATTTCCTTAAGCTTACAGGATACTGTAAGTACTGTTTTCTAATTGCTATGCTCACATCCACTCTAATCAACACCTAAGGAGTGAAAAAACCCTGAGACTTACCGTTGTGGAGTAAAAATGAGCACCGGGAGATGATTTGCAAGGAAGGAAAAGTTTTATTCCACTTTGCAGAGAAGAACGACACAGAACAGCTTAAGACAGCTACCTGTGTGATTCTGACTAGGTCCTGCCCCACCTTTGCATTATAAAGACTCCTTACACACGAACATTGAGTCTTTCCAAGAGAAACACTTCATCAAAAGACATAAATATGCATTCAGATAAACATTTCAGAGAACTGTTTTCCGTTCACACCAGAGACAGCACGTGAGGATCTTAAACACAATGAGGACCTGTTTATCTATGTTTCCCCCTTATCTAACCTAGGGAGGAAACTCCTTTTCAAACCTCCTTCCTTTCCCTACATCTCAGCATAAAGAATAGAACAAAGCCTGTAACTATTCTATTATATGTTATATTCTATTAAGAGATATTTTTATTTTTATTTTTTTTCCTTTTTCTTATTTTGAGCGCTCACAATTACTCCGGATCATTGCTTTCTCTTTTTATTTTGTTGCAACACCTGGTTTACTTTTCCTTAGTAAGACCTACACTTTCTCTTAAAAAAAAAAAAACTCACTCTCAGCCTATTTAAGGCCTACTTTTTCAAAAGTCGGTCTTTCAAAAAAAGACCTACCCTCGGTCTAAAAAAGACTTACCCTCAGCCAATTTAAGGTCTACTTTTTCAAAACTCGGTCTTTCAAAAAGACTTACCCTCGGTCTAAAAAAGACTTACCCTTAGCCAATTTAAGGCCTACTATTTCAAAACTCGGTCTTTCAAAAAGACTTACCCTCGGTCTAAAAACGACTTACCCTCAGCCAATTTAAAGCCAAATTTTTCTTTATAACAACATTTTAGTTTTTTTTCTCTTTTTTACCTTTAAAGGAGTTTTTTTTGTTTTCTTCCTCTCCCAGTCTCCTGAGGTTATTGTCCTCCTGTCGAGATCAATCCACTCGGTGGAGCATCAGAAGATTCCTCCTTCTCCTAAATGGCCTATTTGAGGTGGAGGAAAAACCCGTATGGTTTTGGTGATCAGCCCTTCTTCTAGAATCCACCCAGCGGACGGATCAGTGAAGGATCCTGTTCGTGACGCCAAATTGTGGAGTAAAAATGAGCACCGGGAGATGATTTTTAAGGAAGCAAAAGTTTTATACTGCTCTGCAGAGGAGAACGACACAGAACAGCTAAGGACAGCTCCCTGTGTGATTCTGACTAGGTCCTGCCCGACCTTTGCATTATAAAGACTCCTTACACACGAACATTGAGTCTTTCCAAGAGAAACACTTCATCAAAAGACATAAATATGCGTTCAGATAAACATTTCAGACAACTGTTTTCCGTTCACACCAGAGACAGCACGTGAGGATCTTAAACACAATGAGGACCTGTTTATCTATGTTTCCCCCTTATCTAACCTAGGGAGGAAACTCCTTTTCAAACCTCCTTCCTTTCCCTACATCTTAGCATAAAGAATAGAACAAAGCCTGTAACTAATCACCCCTATTCAGAAAGAAAGAAAAACCGGCACTCTTTAATATTTAACCTTACTAACATTCAAGGAAAAAACACAAATCACACCGTCTAGTGTCACCTGGTGTCCAAAGTGTCAAATCTGCTTACAGTAACAGGTTAACTCATTTGTTTTTTTTTATGCTATATTTAATTGCTACTAAAAATGTATGTAAAAAATTTCAAGCAATATATAGTTTACTTTTCACTTTTCAATTAGTTGACACTTTGTGATGGTGTATGGAATAAAATCCCTGTAGAATATATTAAAGGTATTGTGTTGAGAGTAAAAAGAGTGGAATCAGTCAGTGGAGGTATGCAACAGATTAGTTTTCAGCCTTAATTTAGATGAAGGTAAAGTGTCAATACAGTGAGTAAAATAAGTATTTGATCAACCTGTTATTTTGCAATTTCTCCCACTTAGAAATCATGGAGGGGTCTGAAATACTCATAACATTGTAAAAAAAAAAAAAAAATCCAGAAATCCAGAAATTTTTAACTATCGAATGATACAACTGAAAATAAGTATTTGAACAACTTCTATCGGAAAGAATTATGACCTTTAAAGAACTCTAAGTCTGCCTTCAAAATTTCCAGCTCCAATCCATTTATTATCCTAAATTAGATGCACCTGTTTGAGGTCGTTAACGGCATAAAGACACCTGTCCAACCCATACAATCAGTAGGAATCAATCTACTAACATGGCCTAGACCAAAGAGCTGTCCAAAGACACTAGATACAATAATGCACACCTCAAAAAGGCTGGAAAAGGCTACAGGGAAATTGCCAAGCAGCTTAGTGATAAAAGGTCAACAGTTAGGGCAATCACTTATTTGTATACAAAAATGACATTTTGTTTGGTACAGCTTTTCAGACAGTAAAGGAACATTTCCATTCCATAAAGTGTAGCAGTGATCAAATGTAAACAGTGTGGGAGAAAAAACATG